ACTCATAGCGACCCCTTTTTGGGTTTTTGAGGCAGTATCACTACAGAAGTAGATTGCCCAACCTTCCTTCCGAGGAGTGGCTGGGGATTCAAACCGCTGACTTTTCAGTTAGCAGCCAAGTGCTTAACCATTTCTTAAGGCATGATGTATTTTGAGTATTGTCAATCTGTAGTGGCCAAAAACTGCTAGGATAGAGGTCAGATAACAAAGAGGGATGTGTACCTTGCGCTTAAGAGATGCACTGTGTACCCAGTTGATTATAGGAATCAGCTTTGAAGATGTTAGGATAAGGGAAGGATGGGGATGGCATTTTAACCAGGAACCCAGATTTGTGTTGATAGCTCTACTAGTGTAGAAAATGGATTGAATTAATGGGAAGACACTAGATGAAGTTCTACAAAACTATCTAGGAGGGTTAATAGCTTTCTTGATTAACCCTAATTTTCTATTGTATAGGACTAAGTGAGGAACACTTAGGGATGAGTATGTATATACATGTACACATTTCTATTCTTGATGTATAGAATATGCTTCTTTTCATTGTAGTAAGACAAACAGAAACCAAACACATTGTCCCCGAGTTGGATCTGACTCATGTTGACCCCTCCTTGGGTTTCCGAGGCAGTATCAATCACTACGGAAGTAGATTGCCCAACCTTCCTTCCAAGGAGTGACTGGTGGGTTTGAACCATCAGCCTTCTGATTAGTAGTATAATGCTTTAGGCACTGGGCCACCAGAGCTCCTTTTCATTGTGGTGTTGTTGTTGTTGTTGTTGTTGTTGTGTGCCGTCGAGTTGGACCCGACTCATAGCGACCCCTTCTTGGGTTTCCGAGGCAGGATCACAACGGAAGTAGATTGCCCAACCTTCCTTCTGAAGAGTGGCTGGTGGGTTTGAACCGCCAGCCTTGTGGTTAGCAGTCAAGTGCCTTAGCCACTATGCTACCAGCGCTCTCATCTTTTCATTGTAGTAGATAGTTTAAAAAAAAAAAAACAACTCACTGCTGTTGATTCAGATCAGACTGATAGCGACCCCTCCTTGGGTTTCCGAAGTGGTATCTCTATGGAAGTAGATTGCCCAGTCTTCCTAGTAGGTATGTATATATGTGATAAAACATTTGCCATTTTTTGTCATGTATACTTTAGTGATGACATTTTACATTCATCATATTGTTCAACCACCCCCATTAATCCATTTCCAAATTTTTTCATTACCCTTAACAAAAGCTCAGTGTCCCCTAAACAAAGCTTTATATCAAGGTTCTGTATTTTTTTGTGTTGGCAGAATTCATTTGGGTTAGAGACTAAATTGTTTAATAATACATAGCAGAATAACCTTTAATGCAGATATTGGTAGGTTAGTCACACTAGCAAATTTGGATGAAGAATTGGGCTTTTAAAATTTATATTCTACCTGGGCCCAGAAAGGAATTGAGGAAACTAGGATTACATTTGTTGATTGAAGATAGAAATTGTTCTGGAGTTAATAGTACAGGCAGTTCCCAGGTGATGAAGAAGTTCCCTTCCTAAATCTGTCTTTAAGTCAAATTTGTTATGTAAGTTGGAACAGTTAGGTACAGTTTGTATCTAAAGTCAATCTGTCCAATGTTTGTCTTACTATGTAATATACCTTTCTATGCGTAAAAAAATTAAACTTCCAGATACACTAAAACATCTTTAACATAATAATGTAGTAGTAGTGTTTTGTTACATGCACAGAATATCTCCCATTTGTTATTATGAACCATTGTATGTATCTCATATTTTTAATATCAGAGGCTTTACGGGGGTTGGTTCATATAGGTTGTATGTCAGTTGGACATTAATAACCTGCAAACTGCCTGTGCTGGTGTATTTCCATAAAAGGGAAAATGATCTACTCATAAATAATTATTTAACTGTCATATTTTTTAGTTTATTCTAAGAAATAAGAGCATGGACTTTGTGTTCAGTAGACCTAGATTTGATTGCAGGTTCTACCACTTGCTTGATCCTAATTTTAAATGGATTATATGTAACTGCTTTGATCCTCAGTTTCTCCATCTAGAAAATTTTCTCATGTTTCTATTACTTACTATATTTTTATTACTGAGGTTTATAATGAGCCACAGGAGCTCTGGTGGCGTAGTGCCTAAGGCATATTGACTGCTAACCAGAGGGCTGGTGGTTCAAATCCACCAGCCATTCATCAGAAAGAAGAGTGGGCCACCTACTTCTATGTAGATACTGCCTCGGAAACCCAAGAAGGGGGTTGCTATGAGTCGGATTCGAGTCGACGGCAGTGAGTTTGGGTTTTTTTGGTTTTAGTATGAGCCACATGCACTTGCTATTCTAGAGATAATTTCAGAGACTTAATTTGTGTTCCATCTTCTGTTTTTGCTAGGCTGGGATCAGTCAGATAAGTTTGTGAAAATCTACATCACCTTACCTGGAGTCCATCAAGTGCCCCCTGAGAATGTGCAGGTGCATTTCACAGAGAGGTGAGTTCTCATTATAATGGGGAAAACAGTGATTAGATCGTTAAGAGAGATTGCTTTAACACAGAGCTCTTTTCTTTTCCTAAAATCCTGCTTAAATTTAGAATTAATTGTCCTTCTTACCTACTCAGATGATGATGGGTCTTAAAATCATTTGAGCTGGTCAAATGCAGATGCTGGAATAAAACTTGTAGCTTCTTTTCAGAAGAACTGTAGAGCGCCTTTTATAGAACCAGACAGATTATCTATTCTTTTTTGTGTTGTAGGTCATTTGATCTTCTGGTAAAGAATCTAAATGGGAAGAGTTACTCCATGATCGTGAACAACCTCTTGAAACCTATCTCTGTGGATGGCAGTTCAAAAAAGGTGAGTTTGCCTTTTCTTTTTTTAAATTGTGAGACTGTGAAATATTATTAAATTGACCTAAGTTGACTAACTTAGAATTGCAATGGACTAGAAGGAACAGGGATCCTCAAACTACAGCATGCTACCTGTTCTTACAAATACCAAAAAACCAAACCAAATTCAATGCCATCGAGTTGGATCTGACTCATAGCGACCCCTCCTAGGGTTTCTAAAGCAGTATCACTGTGGAAGTAGATTGCCCAGTCTTCCAAGGAGTGGCTGGTGGGTTTGAACCACTAGCCTTCTGGTTAGCAGTCAAATGCCTCAGGCATTGTGCCACCAGAGCTCCCTTTTACAAATACGGCACATTTTTATCGGAACATTATCATGGTCGTCTCTATATGGGTTGTCTGTGGCTACTTTTGTGCTACAGCGGCAGTGTGGAGTACTGGTCACAGAGACCATGTGGTCCACAACCTAAAATACTTATTTTGACCCTTTATAGAAAAACCTTGTCAGCTCCTGCTCTGGAAAAATAGATTATTATAAGAATATTGTAGTATAATCAGGAGGGAAATAATCCATTAAAATGTTTTAAGAGTGAGACTTGAGTTTTAGTGCTAGCTCTGCCACTTATGAGTTGTGTGACCTTTGGCAGCTTATATAATCACACTGTGCCTCAGTTTCCTCATTTTACAATGGGAATAGTAATTTATCTTACAAAATTGAAATGATGTACTGGAATAAAAGTACATGTAAAGTACCGAAGTAGCAGTGGCTATTATTAGAAAACTGTGTGTAAGGTATTTTTGTTTTTTCTTCCTGAATTTTATTTTGTTGTTTTAAAAATACACACAGCAAAATACACCAGTTCAACAGCTTGTACATGTTCAGTTTAGTAACAGTGATTACATTTTTCAGATTATACGATCATTCTCACCTTCCTTTTCTGAGTTGTACCTCTCTCATTAACATAAACTCTGTACCCACGGGTTCCTAATTAATCTTCAGTTGCTGTTGTCAGTTTGATCCCATCTAGATAGTTCTTAAAAGAGCATAATGCTCAAGGCAGGCCTCTTTTACTAGTTAAGCTCAATTACTCTTCAGTTAAGATAATTTCAGGGGATGTTTTTGGCTTAAGGTTTAAAGATTATCTTGGGACAGTAGTTTTAGGAGTTAAGTTTTTGAAAACATAAAAGAGTTCTCAAACACTTAAGTTGGGATTAGTAGAAGCCCTAAAAATAGTGACACTGTCTTTTAAAAATTTTTTGTACTTCTCACAAATTCAGACAGTCCCTCTTTTCTACCTAATTTAATGTGTTGAGTCCATATGTAAACTGTTTATATATAGTTATGTAGCAGCTTAAAGGTAATATTAGAATATAGTTTATTGATTAGCTTGTGTTTCATTGCACTTTTTCATCCACTATAATCTTACAGGTGAAGGAATACCCAAGAGATTCCTAGGAGTTTTACGGATATCAAGTTACACAGAGTTGGATTTTCCTGCTTTTTCCACTTTCTCCCAAACTCATGTTGCTCCATGCTGCCTTGCATGATCTGGTTTCCTGCCTGTCCTTTGACCACTCATACTATATAATTTTCTCCTTTGATCACTGAAATCTAGCTACTTCTCCTTTCACAAACACCAAGTTCATCCCACTTTGGAGCCTTCCCACTTACTGCTCCATCTGCCTAGAATGTGCTTTCCTTGGAGCTTATTGTCTCAGCATAGATGCTACTTCAGAGAGGCCTTTCTAATGCAGTTACTGCCTTGCCCCATGACACTCCATTTTTTTCATGGCACTTTAGTATTTGAAGGTATAAATACATTGAAACCTGTGAAAACTGGTCTTTGTGTAAGGCAGAAACCTATCAGAGAGTGAAAAATATTTTTTTACTAATAGCCTAAGGCATTTGACTGCTAACCAGAAGAAGACTGGCAGTTCAAACCCCCCAGCCACTCTTCAGAAGGAAGATTGGGCAATTTACTTCCGTAGAGATAATACCACCTTGGAAACCTAAGGAGGGGTTACCATGAGTCGGATTGACTCAGTGGCCGTGACTTTGGTTTTTGGTTTAATAGCGATAGAATAGAATGGACCCTATCAGAGGCTGAGCTATGGAAAAACAAAGCAGTCTCATAGTTCTAGTTCTCATAGGTTTCATAGTAGTTGTATTCTACTTATATATGCTTATGTCAATGTGTTCCAAGTTGTACCCACTTTTTTCCAGGTCAAGACTGATACAGTCCTTATCTTGTGTAGAAAGAAAGCTGAAAACACAAGGTGGGACTATCTGACTCAGGTTGAAAAAGAATGCAAAGAGAAAGAGTGAGTCTGCTTTCATTTCTTGATGATGTTTAATGTATTCTTTGCTGAGATTATAGACTTTTGTTAATACTTTTATCTTTATAGGTAATAGAGCTATATAGTCTGTGATTTGACCATTTACCTCTAAAGTCTACGACTACATTTGATTATCTTGTGTATCTGCTTTCAGCTCTTGGATCCTACCTCAAGAGGGCATGTGTCCAGCCAAGTTGCTTTTTCGGAGGTCCTTATGGTTTTGGTTATCTTTTTTTAGTGCTGGTTTTTAACCCTGGGCACAGACAACCATTGGTGCTTCTATGCAAATTCTGTGCCTATTCCCAGAGATTCTATTTCAGTAGTTCTAGGAGACCCAGATATATTTGAATCCACAGATGTTTTTAATAGTTTGAATATAACTGGTGTAGGGCAAAAGAAATATTTAACGTTCTGTTTAATGACTTCTAAAAAATACTTACTCAAAGATACTTCCATTGTAGGTCAAGTGTTCTTTTATGTTTCAAACCTTCCCTTGCAGTGGTGATGTACTACATTGAGTCACTTAGCCATCCATATTTCTTTGACTTCCCCCATCTAATAGGCACCATGCATTTGGGATGTGGTTGGCTAGTTTGGCATATAGGACTATCTGTACAGTCAATTTTAAATCTAAACTGACTTCAGTACAAGATCCTGTCTTACTCATATTATATACCCAGTGTACAGTGCAGAACCTGACACTTTAATAAGTGAGGTGAGTAAATGAATATGTGGTGAATGAATAATCAAATATAAAATAAAATATAAATGCCCAGTTTGGACATTCTTTGAACTTGGGGTATCAGATTAAAAACTATGCTTTCATCACAAGTCCCTGATCCATGAATCTGAGGTTTAAGAGAGGAGTTTTTCTCATTAAAAATATTTGTGCTCCAGTGTGTGTGTATGTGTAATGTACGTTTGTGTTTTCCCTCAGTGAAAGTTTTTATTTTTTTCCCCCCTGAATAAGATAAGGAAACATGCTTGTAAACATTAAAATAATTCAGAAAAGTAAAAGGGGAAGGAAAAAGGTAAACGTCTCCTGAAATCCCACAGTCCCAAGATGTTACCATTTTGATGACCACTCTTTCTGAGTGTTACCGTCAATTGTGAACATCTTTAGATACTGTCTTGTATTCACTCCTCTACTCCCTACTAATGTTAAGTCATACCTTTGTGTAGTTTCTTTCCTCTAGCTTTATGTGAGCATGTATTGAATGTTTTGTTACTACCTTATTGTCCTTGTGTTCTTTCACAGAAAACCTTCTTATGACACGGAATCAGATCCTAGCGAGGGACTGATGAATGTTCTAAAGAAAATTTATGAAGATGGAGATGATGATATGAAGCGAACCATTAATAAAGCCTGGGTAGAATCAAGAGAGAAGCAAGCCAAAGGAGATATAGAATTTTGAGACTTTTTAAGATCCTTTTGGGAACTGTGATGGGGAAATAGTTTCCTGTAAGAGAACGTTGGTGAGCTGCACAGATGAAATTGACATATCTATCTCATAGGCTTCTTTAAGTAAAGGCAGTGAATTCTCCATTTCCTATGGGAGGATTTATTTAAATATAATATGTTTATTAAACACTTCCTCCAAAGATAATTTCATCAGTACCTGGTCATTTTGTTCAAAGGTGGATTATTACTGCATTTTGCTTGAAAATTTAAAAAGCAGGTCTTGCCTAATAAAAGTGCCACATTGTCTGTATTTTTGTTCAGCTGAGAAGTACAAAAGTATTTGTTGTCTATTAAGTTACTGGCATCCACTGCTACCAATATAAGAATAGGAGTTGTTGTGTACTAACAGATGATTCTGACTCAGCAACCCTCTGTGGCAATAGGACTGTTCCATAGAGTTTTCTAGGTTGTAATCTTTATGAGAACAGATGGCCAGTCTTTTCTCCCATGGAGTGACTGCTGGGTTTGAACTGCCAACCTTTCAGTTAACAGCCATGTGCTTAACCATTGTGTCACCAGTGCTCCTTGCATAAGATACGAATTTGTACCTGTGCTAAAAGGTTGTGATAGAAAAGTTAACTCTCTTCTACTGGTAGCTTAAATAATGTATTTTAAAAGAGACAAAATTACTTTTGCATTGATTTGACTCATGACAACCCCATGTGTTGCAGAGTACAGTCCTGCCCCATAGTGTTCAAGTCTTGACCTCTTGGAAGCAGATCGTGAGGCCTTTCTGCCAAGGGGGCTCCAAACTGCCAGCCTTTTGGTTAGTAGTTGAGCATTTAACATGCCATGCATTATCATGCCCTAATGATGTAACCTGGGGAGCTCTGGTAGCATAGTGCCTAAGGCACTTGACTGCTAATCAGAAGGCTGGTGGTTCAAACCCACCAGCCACTCCTCAGAAGGAAGATGAGGCAATCTACTTCCGTAGTGATACTGCCTTGGAAACCCAAGGAGGGGTCGCTGTGAGTCAGTCCCAACTCGACGGCACGTAACAATCATGTAACGTCACAAGTGTATCTCCCTAGATATAAACATTTCTTTATGAATATAGACTTGAAACTAAATCTTAATTTGACATTAGACGAGCATCTTTGTATAATACCAATTAGATAGGTTTGCCATGGACCGAATGGCTTACGAAAGCAATAACCATAAAGCAAAAACAATTACTTGGAAAAAAATCCATGTATTCCTATGTTTAAAAAAGTAAGATTTTTATGTAGTGGAATAGTTTTACTATCTCTTTGTCTAGGAGTGTGTCAAAAAGTAAAACTAAAAGTAAACTGTTCACTAAAATGAACAAAAAAAGAGCAAGATGCATAGTCTCCATTACTATACTGTACTTGGGCTAGTAGCCAATGCAATTAGATGAGAGAAGCATAGGGGAACTATCCAAGAGGACCAACCAAAAATACTATAGAAAATAATAGTATTTGGTAAAAGTGACAGGATTTATATATAATATAGCTGTCACCAGATACTGAAACACATAAAAATCTCTAAAACTAGTGTTGAATAAAGAGAATGGTGTTGAGAGTAGAACAGTGGAACAGAATAGAAAAAGATCTAAGTGCAAATGCACATGGAAGTTTTAGAACAGTAAAGGGGGCTATCAGAACAGATGGAAATAGGTTTTTAATACTGTGGTTAGTAAAAAGCCACATGGATCAAAATGTAACTATACAATTGATAGACATGGATAAAGTAGGGGAAGACTATACTATAGAATTTAACTTGTTGTTATATGCCGTCGAGTTGGACCCAACTCATAGCGACCCCTTCCTTGGATTTCCGAGGTAGTATCACTACGGAAGTAGGATTGCCCAACCTTCCTTCCGAGGAGTGGCTGGTGGGTTTGAACCGCCAGCCTTCTGGT